TCTGACTGACATAGGGAGAGTAACGTTGTAAGTATAGACGGATATATATACGTAGGTACACGTTGAGACATTGATTAGAGCATGGAAACGTGGTGTCTGCACTTGGCTGCCCAGCGACTTCGGTTACTCGTAAGAGCTTTATTGAATCATAGCATTCCGTTGGGACTAGCGCAGCTGTTGGCCTTGCGAACCTACTGATGCACACGTAATTTGTATATTAGGTAGTGTAAGACACCATCAGAGTTAGTATACAGACATTGTTTACATATACACTAATTTAGCTAACACCAGGTAGCGATGAAATGTATTTTCGTTACACAAATCTAGTGTTGTTCATTAAAATAGCAAAGCCAATAGTTGACTAATCTCATAGTTTGCCCGTTCCCGTTTTTATCAACAATTGCATATAATTCAATAAGCCTTAACTATTCAAATACACCAATGAAGGTGAGAGTGTGAGCGGCCATCTTGTGACGTCACGCGAACAATATGGCCGCTCCAACTAGATGTAAGTACTGAGCATATAATGGAGTAAATGTATATTTTTTTGGTACAAAATGTTGTTTATTTGTTTTTAATTATTTTTGCTTCGCATTTACAGTGTGATCATGCTTATGTTACAGTGTTATGCATGTATACAGATGTATGTGAGTATTGCACAATTGTATTTTTTTTCTTTTATTATTATGTAAGTAGATGTCTGTATGGAGTTTCTGATAATATACATTTGTTGTATTCAAACTATTTTTTAAAATATTGTCAGATTCTCAGAAAAGGTTTTATATCCGAATTTTTCATTTTTATTACCTACTGTAACAGTTCGGCGTAGAACAAAATGGTTATTATATGTAACCACGATAACTTTACTTACAAAACTTCTAACACTGTAGAATTTAAGCTGATAAAATATATACATAAAATCTAAACGAACGCATAAATTTATCTTCACTATTACACCAAAATTAGTTAATTAAGGAATATTATAGAAAAAAAGAAAAACAAAATGGCTCTTACATTATCCACTTAATTTTTATTTTCATTAACTCGGTTGTGTATGTACTTATGTAATAGCCTTGATTTTCGTAATCTTTATTTATTATTGAGTTTTACTGTAACTTTTACGTTTTATTGTTAAATAATACATACTTAACCGGCACTATAAACCAATATAGTAATAAAAACTCATTATAATAAAAGTATTTATTTGACAAAGCGGATATTTTATTTTTGTTTCCTAAACATTGAAGAACGGGGACGAAGGACGCGAGTCGCAACCGTCAGGAGTAGCTCACATACCGGATTATATATTAAAACTCAGAGTAGAAGTAGACCAACACCTTACTTATTATATTTTATTATTTATTTTGTTTATATATTTAGTATTTGCTACTGGATGCCCTCGACCCCCAGCTATGAATGCCCCTTTCCTAGTTACAGTTAGGCACTTACTAACGAAACTGCTTTCTTAAATTTAAATAGCATTCTCTATAGCTACAACTCTTCACTGTTAGTATTTAGTTGTGGTGTTCTAAACACAAATGAAAATCAACATTTGCTAAAAACTATACAAATTTGTCTATGTTATCGTTTGATTTTAGAATGCCATTGGCAATTTTCCACGTAATTTTAGATGTATTGGCAACAAAGCAGTTTGGTTACGCGGCTCGTTGTAGAGTGCGTACATAGGAGTGGAGCTAGGAGCAATGGGGGCGCGACACTGACACGTCCGTGATGTTGTTTTGCAGCAAAAGGCGGACATATTGGCCGGTCGCAGGATATTTGTCAATAATTATTTGGCGGAGCACCGAAGGATCAGCGTGCAATCTGGCGGAAGTTCACTGCCCGCCCTCAGCCCTGTATCGCATCAGAGCGATGACTAAAATCCCCAAATTAATAAATTTAAAAAAAACGACACCAAAATACTTAATTCCTACAAAAATAAAATAAAATTACTGCCATTTAAACAATATAACAAAAATCTAAATATTTTAAATGCCGTTAAGTTACCGCGAAACATAATCTCGAACCAAAAAACCGTTAACTTCGAATCTCCTAAATCTGTGAATGCAGTAAATAATTAAGAACTGTTTATTGTTTAATAAAATATAAGAATAAATATAATATTAGTGTACTCGCTAATAAACTATATTGATTAGATTTAAATGATAACTATGGTGCACCATTATTTAGGTGGAGTATATTAGATTTTGAGCAAAGTTATTTTAGGACCGGTATATAATATATGGATATATAAAACATTTCTTATATAAATATAACTTCTATCGTAGCCCTTCTATTTTCTGTAAATAATCGAATCTTTGAACACTACTTTTCCTTGTAACTAATATGTCTAAAAATAACTCTTGTGTGTTAAAATAAATAAAACGTATATAATACAAAATAAATTCATGTGCCATTTTTTATATACTTAATATAAAAAATAACGAAACACACAATTTGTGCTACTCAAGTGCTTTTATAAACGTTGTAATGATAAGATGATATTTAAATTTGCTTGTTATTTTTATTTGTTTGTGTTATTGGAAGAATGCGATTAGATGTGGATTTTTAATATTTTTAGTATTAGTTATGGTGTGCTAGAGCTGGTTGTGTTTTGTCCAGTAGTTGGATGATCCATTTGTGCGACCACAACTACAAAACACGACCGCTGTGCTCATTCTATAGACAATAATAATAGCAAGACAGTAGAAATGTATGCATATATGTATGGCACAATACGTTTAGTTTAATTTAAAACTTGCATGAATCTATAACTTTATATATTTCTTTTTATGTTTTCTGTGAAACGTTTATGTGTATTTTGGTAATGATGTGCACGATGTGATAACATATTTGTCGTTACCATTATACGCCACTGTCTCCTACACTACACAACTGTCCACTATTCTCTCGTCTTCCATACAACTTTTATTTTTATTTTCTCTCTTCCAAGGTATCAAGCAAATTTAATTATCACTCGAATGTCTTGTGGTAAATAAAGTTTAGTATGGTTTATAATATGTTAAGTATATATTACTAATTACTAAATATTTAATAAAAACTTTGTGTATTTGACTCTTGAACTTTAAATGCACCACATGTAGAGATTAAATCATTGCCTGCTACGCCAGTGCTAAGACTTAGATGGTATAGTATACATAAAAATATAAATTATACTTTTAAAAAACTATGAATTAATCGTGTCTTGGTATACACCAAAACTTAGATGTAAAAAATATTAAAAACATTTTTTCAATAATTTTATTAAAGCTTGTAGTCGACGCGTACACGCCGGATAGTGTCTAAATCACTTAAACTAAAAAAGACCATAGCATAGCATGAGTTCTCACTATACGTACCTTAACACGGTATAGAAACTGGTACTGTTGTTAATTCGTTATTTATAACGCTTGTTGTCTCTTAAACTTAGTAATAAAGTATCTATACTCCAAAGTAACTTTCATTTCACCCGCCACTATGTGGATTGTGGAGAGCTGCAATAACAAGGTAACTTGCAGTTATGGGAGCATATTGATGTGTCGATGTTGGTCAAATGATGTTTGTTGTTGGCGGCCCGTGGCCAACATGGGCCCGTGAATGTCGTACGGTCTAGATCGATGTTAGAACGCTTGCGGCTTACACGCTCTTCGATATGTTATGTAGAACTAGCTCACGTGGGTACTGAAGCATGGTCGTTACACTTAGTGTCACTGCGTATGTGGCCACCATACTGGCTCTAATCTACTACTCGACCCGCAAGCCCCTAAAACATATTAAGGTAAACAAATCTAATAATTTTTGCACAAATTTGGCTTGCAGTATAATTGTTGTTTCGACACTGTATGTACCATATATGCATTGACTGTAAATATATTTGACTAGATTCGTACAGAGCTTTAACTTATAACGCCACGCAGAAAAAAATATTGTGTAAATAGTAACACATTTTAAATTAATAAAAATATATATATATATATACCACAAAAACAAATAATGTATAGGTATCATTTTAGTGTTAGATTCACAACTGTTGTACTATGTATGCTTCTGTAATATAGATGTAAAATAGCTTGACCTAGCCTAGAATAGTTACATAACTACATAGGTAGATATATCTGGTATGTGAGCAACTTCGTCGATAAAACAATACCGTGTGTGTGTGCTTCACTAGACATAGCTCGCATGATGACAACTGAACATACACACACTTGTATACTTGACATACACACGAGCACACACAAAACATACATACACAGAAACACACTCAAACATGAACACAAACAAATACATTTACAAAATACATAGTTTATTTTAAACAAGTTACGACCAAGGAACCCGCAACTTAAGGTTTAGGTTATTAAGTGTTCAATGTTAAATGTTCAATTAATGTTGTTGATTTTGTTTAGTTAAGTTAATTTATTTGTTGTTTTTTATTACTTTCGTTTATTTTTCAAACAATGGATGTAGTGGAGCCCTGGATGGAAAATGTGTGAAGAATATAGTTTTAAGTGCACAACCCCCATGAATGTGCTTCTTAAGGTACCTAATAGGATGTACCCTGCGTCTATATTTTAGTTCTGTATGTGTATTTATATGTATATAATATACTTCTTCTGTATAACGCTCATCGCTTCGCGAGGCACACTGCTTCGTTTAGTCCCCCTGACAAACTTCTATTCTTTCTGATATTACACTCATTTAAAAAAAACACTGCTACGTGTCGAACGCGATTCTACGCTATTTCATACATCTTTACGATTTCTATCAACTTTTTAAATCCGTAGCTTTCTTTCTTAACAGCCTCCTTTATATGTTTAAAGGTCAGTTTAGTTTAGCGCTATGTACAATCGCGTTTGACCCGGTTGCACGCAGTTTCTACATTATATATTATGTTCATGTACCCCTTTCCGCGGCTCGCGGCCTCTCTGTGTCGTTATACCTTTTACTTCATGTTCTCGTTTTTATTTTCTTTTCCATGAATACCCAATTGCACACGGAAGGTGATAGGTGGCGAGTTACAAGAACGATTGATACCCGTCCCCTACAGCAAGACGTCTACTGATCAAGCTGTAAGATTCGAATTTACGAGAGGAGAGCTTGTTTCACTCACTTTATTTGTTTATTTGACTATTTTTATGTTAACATTTTATGTTTTTTTATATGTTCAAATGTTTAATACTGTACTCTGTCTCTATCTATACCTACAACTTATCCGGTCTGTATCTGTATCCCACTTGTACGTGTGTGTTGTCGTAGCGTTGACTGTGCACTTCGACACACGTATATTTTATTAGTGTGTTCGTTTCATACGATTCCCGCTTATAACACGCGTATCAATTCCTATAAAATGCTTTACTGCACAAAGGCTTCTTAAGTCTTAATCACTTTTGGTCGACTTTAAATACACTTTACACTTTTCTAATACTATATAATATATGCTTAGTACGAAGTGCCAAGTCACTGGCCATCTGCATGGTATCACACCATTGCTGCATGTATCCTGACGTCATGTGCTGTTTTATACATATTGTATTCTTGTTCATATCGTTTGCTTAGGGTCTATGTTGTGCATATGCAGCCTTTCACCATATTTTTTAAATATATTTTTTTAGTGTAAAATAACAACTTGTAAAAAAGAAATGTTGTAAATTTTTAATCGACGACAATAATTCGTTCTCGCTAAATAGAAGGACACTTATTTTTGTACATATTAAATAATTGGAGTTGGTTTGATTGTTAAAATATTGTGAATATGTTATAAAGTTACTGATAATATTACTGATGTCTAAGACTCTTTTTTAATAAAACTATTAGTATTAGATTAGCGAGTTAATAATATGCACATTTGAGAGTAGAGAGAGAGATTGGGAATTGAGAGTAGTAATAGGAAGGGTATAAAGTATTTTCTTCTGATTAGTAGTATAGTAGGGTTAAACTGTATTAGACAGATTTTATTTAAATTTTTTGGCAACCATACATCATAGCATTAAATGTTTATTTTTTTTATTTTGCCTCACATTTTGCACCTGTCTCTGGTACACACATTGGATGTTTGCGTTTATCCACAATCAAGTTGTCTACCACCCTGTGTAGCCGCTCCTACAAGATGGTTCTTCCATGTGTGACCGGGCATACAATTCGTCAAGTCGTGGGGTTCTACAGATGTGGAACCATACAAACCAGGGGCTCGTCATAAAACCATTAGAATCATTTCAGAATTAGAAGCATCCGAGGTCATTTTTTTGATATAAATAGCTTTTAGAAATATAAATATTTTCTCTTATCTCATAGGCTAGTTGAACGCTTCAAGTTAACGTATATTATTTTGGTAAAGGTACTTCATTACGAGGTCGATTCAAGGGTTTTTGTCAGCTTGCTTACAATGATTTCGGATATAGGACGTTGTTGGATAAAGCGATGTGTTGCTTCGTATTATGTGCAATGTATTGTGTAAAATAGGTCAAGGCATTAACAATAGAGCTTTCGCGCGTAGCTCACATAGAGATGTGTAAATGCAGTCACAGATACGTAACGTTGGAGTTGTGCATGTAACACGGACGATAGACTCACCACACCGGCACTTCGGTCCGACGATGTCTGTATTCAGAGGCGTTGACGAGGAACCGTCCCCCCACGTGAGCGAGCCGGCCTCTCTGCATGGCATGCGGCGGCGATGTCGCGACCCTACAATTCTGTGACTGGAGTTTTAAATTACCTAACGCTTTCTTGCCTCTTTTTATGGTTCGGTGTGCTTATATTTATGTTGACATTGTACATTCATGGTCTGGTTCGTGCCTCCGGCTCGGCCCTCTGGTGCCAGTACGGGACGAGTTGGAGGGTCTCGTCACCGGGGTCTGGAACATTCGTGTCGTTCTGACGTTTTATGACTTCACCTAGTGTTCCAACTTACAATTTATACACATTGGCATTTTGTCATGAAACATGAAAATTTTACCAAAAAGGTTATCTCCAATTTTGTTAGTGAGAAGTTGAACACTGATATTTACGAACTCGAATAATGTTACGTTACTGTGCTTTTCTGTGTGCCTTGCCGATACCAATACTGGTATGTGACATGCAAATGGAACACCGCCGTACTGTAACTACGTATGTGTATCGAGTTGGTAACAATCAGCGTGTCGATCAGTCAGGGCCTCACGAATGTTATCATTCACTGCGACGGGTATACTGAGTCGAGTGAATACTTTTTTGCTGGTACCTTGAAGACGCTAAACAGGGTTTGAATAACTTCATCTGCAATTCTAATACCCTGATGCTACAGAAAAAGAAAAAAGACATATAATCCCAGTTTGTTCGTCATATTTCTCTGGAAACGCCAGAACCAAGTTATGTGTAGCGTCTTTAATCGTCTAGCTGTTGTATATTAAAATATAATTTTGCAATAGAAGGGAGAAAGCACCACTCGACTCAGTGTAGTGGTCCTACAGTGGTGTACAGTGTTTTGGTAAGATCTGGTTTATAGGAACGCGAAGACTCGTAAGGGATGCCAAGCGGGATTCGTCGCTTGAAATCTTGTGTCATACACGTTACGTGAGAACAAAGAAAATTGAAATAGCTCTACATGTTGATTTATATCTAGATGTATTATCTTTTTATAAAATCTAAATAATTGCAGCATAGATGTATTTCAGTCGTTGATCCCGCGTAACGTGCTGTGTACGATGATTTCTCCCGAATGTCCCTCATGGCGTCCTGAATTTCCGCTTGCCTATAAACTAAGATGTAATAAATGTGAAATACGCGTATACATTGTTGGGTGTGGTGCGCAGATCCGCGTGGTGAACGCGTTCCGGCAGGGGCTGGACTCGCGCGGCTCGCTAGCGGACGCCGCGCTGGCAGAGGCGCTACGCAAGCAGACGGCGCTGTCGAAGCGCTTCTCGCACTCGTCCAGCATCGACTACGCCGACACGGCGCGGGACACGCTGGCGCCGCACGACATCGACGTGGAGCGGCTCAGCTCTCACAGCCACACCGAGACCGCTGTGTAACCCCCCACCCCGTATGTAGCGTATAGGAATAGTGTGCCCGCGCGCCGCAGCTCATCGATGCAATAATTTAGCGATTAATATCAGTATTATGGAGTACCGCGCCGACCGCGGAAGCTGCTCGAACCGTTACGCTGCCATCGCTCTTTAATATTACATTATACATATAAATAATGACGCTGAAAACGATTGTGTATAAAATCATATTTTTAAATCGAGGATGTTGAAGTTTAGTATATGATTTGTAGCACGTGAGGGTTGAGTGTCGCGCGGGCGGAGCCACACGGCCCGCACTAGTCTACTCGCAGCCACCGGTGTACTTGAGCATAAGTTATATTGTTAACTAGTGTGTTTAATTATTCGATTGTTTTGAAAATATTTTATTATGATACGCGCGCGTCTCATCGCGCGCGTCTGTTGAACAAATAAAAAAATATTGTCTAATTATTAATTTTAGATTTAAGCGCAAGGATGAGCGAATGAACGTGTGTTTTTTAAAAAAAAAAGTTTTCGCATACCATCGTGTCACCTCTTACACGGAATGAAATGTTTTATATTGCTTTTGTCAAAGACATGTTGTGGGAGTGGTGTGGGGAGGGGGCGCGCACTCAGCTCGTCGACTCATCCTTTTGTATAAAGTTGTTTCATTTGTAGCGCAGCATCATCGTTTGTACGTATGCCGAGTGATATTAGAGCGGTGCACGCCCCTCCGCCCACGCAGACATATATACATATATATACTTAACTAAATTATTGAAGTATTAGTTAAGGTGTTTGTTATAAATTTCAATAACTTTTTGTTTTACGACCTTTTTCCCCTAAATCTAAGTATACATTTAAGTCATATCTCGAAGCGTAGACGCATTCAACTGTAAAGTTTTTACACAAGAACCGTCCGCAGCGTTCTTGTGTAAAAACCGAGGTAGCCCACTTTGAACATCTTCACAATGTTTAAAATAGAAATAAACATTAAAATTGTATAGCTGATGGTATTTATTTGTAATGCTAGTCTCTTATGAAACAAATACTAATTATTCAATTATTATAATGTACTTATTGATTATTGATAAATACTTCAAGTTTATTAAACATGATATAGTCTACGGTGTAACGAATTGATTTCGGAATTTTTACTCTTGAGCAATAGCGAGGCGCTCGACTATAGGCGAAGTAGGATCGCAGCAGTGGCATTTTCGACATTATAAAGTAAGACATGTAATAATCAAGTTAGAGGCGAGTTGAACCAGACCATTGTCGAGTTGAGTCGCGAAAGAGAGCGGCCCCCACTTGTTTTAGTATAATATTACGTATTGATAATGAGACATCAAGGCGATCTAGCGAATCGACAATGTTCAATTTTGTATAGAACGTTTCATAGTAGCGGTATTTGAGAGTTGTTACGTTTTATTTGTGAGGCTCGTAGACGCGTTCCGTTCAGCAGCCGTGTGACCGGACCACGACTCGCTCCGACTCCTCACCGGTCAGCCAGTCGGTCACTCACTCACTCAGAGCAAAACGGACGAACGAGTGGCGCGACAACTATTAAAACTATTAAACAATCTTGTAAGTAATTAAGTATTAGCTTCGAATCAATAAAGCCTTTTTAAAAAAATTAGTTAAAAAATGAAACTATTGAAACTTCACGATGTTTAAATAAAATAATATTAGTTATGGTTTCAGTGCATAGCGAGATCATATGTTATGTGTATTATATACTATTGTTTCGTTGATATTCGTTACCACGAGTTCCCCAATGAAAGACATAAATAATTAGGAGTCTATACTGTAACGTAGAGGGGCGTGGTCTACCGCGTCGCCCTTACCTAACAAACAATTGTTTGACACGACAGTCTGCCACTAACCATTTTAGCTGATAAGTCCCATTGTTGTATTTTTCGTCTCACAATAAATGAAAATCTATTTTATTGTTTTTAACTTTGTGTTTTATTTTCAGTCCCAGTTCTTTTTGTTGTACAATTTACGTAATAAACGTAATTACCGTGTATTTTACAATACAATGTAAAATAGGGCAGCTTTTGCCAGAAGACAATATAGCAGAGTTGTTGATGCTAAACCGTCAAGTAAACTGTAAAAACTTGCCAAACCTTGGGCGTTGTCAAACCGAATCCCATAATTTAGCCCATTTTTAGTTTAGTATACACCTAGAGAAGATCTGTCATTGGTTCAAAAGTTATAAGCCTTCTGTCGATCACTGATAGCCGTTAGCGTCCACGAGGTAACCGCACGACGCACGACCGTTTACGAACACAGCTTCTGTGCGGCCGTAATTTTAGCCGAAACCGGAACTAGATTTCTTGGCCGAAACCGAACCTTCAGTCTGTCACTAAGCATTACAGCTAATGGCGTCGTATCGGGTTGCAGTCGTGTCGCTGGCGAAATAAAGAATGTCGCTGGTTAAGTTTTATTATTTTAACCTTAATTAGTCATATGCCTACTTATATTAGATAATTACGTACATTTTCTTTGATTTAAGATTAGGTATCTATGTTTTTTTTTGTAACGTATTGTTATTATATTTCGAGCAATAGATTGATACTTATATACTTACAATACCTACGTATTCAACGTCATTTCGACAACAGAAGTTATATTATTCGCACGTAACGCAGCCTAACGCAGCTAATGCTATATACCTAATTGGTAGTTATATATGCGACTGTACATCTTGACACCAGCCGACCGAGAGCAAGGTTTAAGTTATTCTAACCTAGTAATTTAAAACATAAAAATATGTATTTAATTGAGAATTTATCTCTGACATTTCCAAGGACTTTAGACCGATAAAACTAGTAGTACACTTAAATATAATTTTTCGTACACTCTTCGATCTTCTAAACTAAGAGCCAACTAAATCTGTGACTGTTGGGATAAATTCCGACGAATTAGCTATTAAATTTGGGAGAAAACCGGCCTTCGCTAGATGCTCAGTTTTTAAAATATAAACGGGGCCCAGCTGCGGAGATTCTCTCCAGGCCGGCCACCTGTAAACACTTATAACTTTTGAACCAGTGACCGATTTTTTTTTGTGTTATCAAAATTAAAATTCCTGATGATGGCCAAGCCAATATCAGCGACACCATGATTTACATGATTATTATTAATTGCTACACAGTATTAAGTAAAAAAAAGATAGAGATCCAGTTACGGACCATTTTGTTGGTGAAGTGAACATACTTAAACTTTGGACTAATCCCTCTCACACGCCCACCACTGTATCGCCTGAAAACCAGGCATAAGCAGTGACCCAAGATCACACCGAGTTATGACACTCGGGAAGTCCCATAAAAATTACACTGTCTCGAAACCCGCAGCGAAATTAATCAGAAGAAAATTGGACGAGTTGGCAATAAAATAAAGCCTCCTCTCATACACCATTTCATACAATAAGGAAGCACTACGGCCACAAAATATCGTGGGTCATAGGCAATTCTGCCATTCATATTATAGAAATCAAATATAGCCCATATTTGATTTCTATAATATGAATGGCAGAATTGCCAAAAGCACGAAAATCCACCCCAGCGGTCGTGATAGCTATGGGGAGTATGATTACTGCGAGTAATAGTAATTACACTCACAGTACAGTACATACTCACAGTAATAAGGGCGTAGCCAGGATGCTTTCAGGGAATGTCACAAACGGATTTGTCGCCAAAAGACAATACATTTCCGCTTAAATCCGAAGTATTAATGCGTTTACCTACATCTATTGTCTTTTGATGACAAATCCGTTACGCCCTTATTACTGTTTAAGAAATCTTTAGAGGGATGTCAATTCATTGACATAGTTCTTTTCTATAAGTTTATGAATCGTAGGATTCTTCGCATTTAATAAATAAAACAAGTATAATATAAATATAAATTCCATATATTTATAGAGCTTAATTAAAAGTTACATTTCAACATTACAACTAATCCGCGATACTCCAAAGTATTCGTTAGAAAGATATGAGGCCGGGGGGCGGCTCGGGCGGCATGAAGTTAGGTAGCGACACATTAGGATCTGTCAACAAAATACTGTCATTAAAAGGGAATCTAAGTTCGAGCAGTGTATAGTTAACGCAATGAATTCTTCGATTATGACACCAATCAGATACCGTAAACCCCATGAGACTACCACATATCTATATTAATATACAAAAAGAGGAAGACTATAATTTAAAAAAAACACATTGGTCTTCTATACCTAACGCAATTAACGTCAAGGGTTCTTCGGAAAACCCTTATAAACTTCCATAAGCAACAATAGTTCTAAGCTCATAGAGATATAAGCATAGAAAGAACACGGGGTACAGCTGCCTGTAAGTGGAAGCGATACAGGCAACGAGAGAGATGGATACCCGAAAGTTTTCTATGTCTCTGTTTAGCTAAGCTGCGATTGGCTACTTATTAACCCCCCTCCCCGCTCACATTCCCCAGCTAACCACAGAGCTCGACTAGAAAGAGATAGAGGCATCTATCTATGATCCATCTTTCTCTTTGGCTATATAGCTTGAGGCTCTTGTTCACTATTAAGTTCTTGAACATCCAGAACCATTGGACCCACAAGGACAAACTTGAAATTATGAATATAGTTTTTTGGCTATCATTACAAGTTTACCTTGGCCTACACACTATGAATTTAAATTGCTTTTTCTGATCTTTACTAAGGCTACTCTGAGACAGTACTTCATACACAAAAAAATAAAGGATCTTCGGCCTGTCAGTGTGTAGTCTGATAAAAACTGTTTTAATAGCAGTTTTCTTTTTCTTTTTTTTTTAAAGTAGCCTCATTTTTAATACATATATCCTGTGTCGCGGGTTACTTACTAACATACATGAAACGGACACAGAGAACACCCAGACTCAGAACAACAATTTGTGGATCACACAAAGTGTCGTCCCATGTGGGGATCGAACCCACAACACTCAACGTAGTAAGAAGCGGCGAGTCGACGAGTTGTCCGATAACCAAAGAAAAATAACATCTTACCAATCATGGTTCAAAAAAGGACGTGGCTCTGCTATCGTCTTACTGGACGTGGCAAACAATATCCTGTATGCACAGGATTAAGGTAAATGTACGTTAAACTATTGATGTTTTTTTTCAAACACTTGATAGCATCTGTATCTATGCAATAATATCTGTAAGACGGTTTACGTGTTTCTGTTTTACCTTAGACAGTTTTTTAAACTGCTCGTAATGCTAGTGAATAAATCTTTCTCCACCCTCACAGTAACACACACACTAAGAATTCCGATTTAGTATAGTTTGTTTCATTAATTTTATATTCTTGTTGGTGGAAGATGGAACTCTAGCGGCCCCAGGGCCAGAAGTGGCTTTAATGGCTGTGACACAGTTCTCTTAATTATTGCAGACATCTTTGCACATAATGTTACTGATTTCGTTGTTTTATTTTCTAATAGAACATTGAAAACCATTTTTTAATAAAAATGCATATATCATGAGGAATACCACTGGGCTTAATTGTAAGACCCATTATTTTTAATTTAATTTATATTACTATTTATTTAATAAAGGCTCTGATGATATTCATTTGCTAATAGGAATTTAAGAACATTGGTAGTCGGGCGGAGAATAACTCCTTGCCCATGGACCTACAGCATGACTATTTGACTCTGTAGAAACCAAAAACGTAGGTATGGCTCGTCCCTACTATCATGTATCGATAAAGTGATTTTGAAGGATGTGAAGCCACAGCCAGGATTATTATGATCTGACTATTGACTATTTGACTTTTCTTGCCTTGTCGTTCAATCTATTTGATAACAACGATTCTCCTCCTAAACACTTTTAGGTAAGGAGTAACGCTTACGAGAACTTACCTATTTTCTGGCCCATCGCAAAGGGCGGTGCTTGCAACATCGCTGGATTTATTCCTTGCTGTTGCAATAGTTGCTGCTGTTGCATTAACTGCTGCTGAATCATTTGAGGCGGCTGAGGCTGCATCATATGCGGTGGTTGTTGCTGCATCATTCGTGGAGGCTGTTGTTGTAACATTTGTGGAGGTTGTTGCTGTAAAAGCTGTGGCGTTTGTTGCGGCAAAAGCTGTGGTGGTTGTTGCTGCAACATTTGCGGTGGCGGTTGCTGCAACATCTGTGATTGCTGTTGCTGCAACATCTGTGGTGGTTGTTGCTGCAACATTTGTGACGATTGCTGCTGCATCATCGGAGGTGGTTGTTGCATGATCATTTGTTGCGGCAGCATATTGGGCGCTTGTTGAGTGAAGAAGGGTGGCGGTGAGCCGGGGGGAGGTGGTGGAGGTGGTAAAGCGTCCCAGAGAGGCACGTGGTCCGGGTGAGAGGCTGGACACGGCCAGGCGCATCCGAAGCGACGAGGTTTCTTTTTCTAGAAAGAGTAAATTGTTATTACCAAATTGATTCGTAGACTTAGTAGTCTACTAGAAAACTGTACTGTAAAAGCATGAAATAATAGAACGGACCAAAACGACTATGATTTTTTTACATAATTTCTCATTCAAAACTAATGTGAAGCAGTATTTTGTAAAACAACTCGCAGAATCAACTGACGTATGATTGTCATTTACTATTATTAATGGTATTTATTTAGGTATGTATGTATTTGTGTAAGTTTATATGTATTTAGGTATATGTATGTACGTATGTATAATGTGTATGGGTTCTAGTGTATGATAGGTTTATGTACGCGTATTTGATATTATAACTACAAACAAACTAACCAAAATGCAACTACTTCCTGTTCTCACTGCATCATCCAAAGGTTGACTGGTAGAGAATGCCTTAGGCATTAAGTCCACTAATGCACCAGAAGTGCATGATGTATAAATAAATAAATAACAACAAACTTTTGATTTTACTGCACAGTCCCCGCTACGGCAGATATTTCCGTAATTTAGAAGTAATTTAGATTATAAAGAAGTACAATCTAAATAATATATAAATAGTACAATCTAAATAAGTGTATTTTTTTAATGTTACAAATGAAAAAAAACTGTTTATCTTGAAAATCCATACCCTCTTTGGCGGTTCCTCTACATCAGAATCTTGTCCCGGTTTGTATCCGTCTGCGAAACTCACTCGCTTGACACCACGACTTGCCTTACTGTAAATGAAAAAAAAATCATACCTATACTTATAAAAAATCATTTTACCTTTGTTTACCAAGTAGATAGACAGAAACACTTCTTTCAAACTAGTACATATTATTTCCAAAACAAAAATCGTGAAGTATTTAAGAATCAAAAAATACTCTGAGTACATACGTGAGTAGTATCCCCTTTTCTGGAGCTTCCTTGTCGGCATCCGGCTCTTCGGTGTCTTTGGCCACTTCACCGAGCACTGTGAATTAATATTTGTTTTCGGTTTAATGTTTTTGTTGCTACGGCCGAAAGGAGATCTAGTAAAACGTAGACCCTGTCACCGTATGGAGTTTAGTATCTCTTAAAATATAAAGCAGCTGCTAGTGCTTTTTTTGAAGTTTACCCTTTAAGAATCGATTTTCATATAAGGTATTAAAAATATGAAGAGTAAAATTTAGTAATTGAATGACCTCGTTAAGTTTTTTGGGTAACCTATCGTATACTTGTGTGCATCCGAAATGTTCATAAGGAGTAAACTCCAGTCGAGCTTCGGAGCTGACACAAACACTTTTTTTTATACTCTATGTAGTGGAAAGTTTCGGTGGTATTAATTAAGTGGATTGAGCATGGTCCCAAACTAATATCCATAAAAATATTGTTAAGTTAAAGAGTTTGTATGTTTGTTTAGTTGAATGCACTAACCTCAGAAACTACTAGTTCGAATTAAAAAAACATTTTAGTGTTGGATAGATTTATCGAGGAAGGATATATTTATAACATACCCGTTACCACCAATAGGAGCAGAACATCAATGAAAAATTATGCACAACCCGAGCAAGTTGATTGATTTTTAGAGGCATCTCTCGACAAAGTTGTGCGGATCAGTTAGTATATTATTATATCGTATCAAACGAACCTGTGGTCCTTAAGGCCCTGTCGATCCTTTCATCTAGTGAGCTAGTAGTGGTGAGAGGTTTCTTGGATTCGCTTAAGGTTGGTGATATGTCAATCTGAGGAACGTCTGTGGCGAAGCAGTCGCCGTACTGCAGCCGATCTGATGCACCGTACATATCTTCGTAAGCTTCGTCATAACTTCTGTAATTTGATTTTTTGTTTTCAAAAACCATTTTCAATTATATTTTTTTAAAGAAATTACCAAGTAGAGATCTTTCCTATAATAACTAAGGCATCGTCAGTAAAATGCCTATGAAATTTAAAAATAGTTTTACTTAAATATAGCAGTAGATATAAATATTTGCACAAAATCTTTTTCCATTGAAAATCAGCTTACATATAACAATTAAATATCGACATAAACAGAAACGACATAACTTTTTACTGAAGTAGTCAAATTGAAAAGCCATAACCTAATAGCTTTGCTGCAAATTATATTTAAGGTAAAAGGTGTCTTACCCCGTACTACTGTTGTCCACTCTATTGTTGGCGAGGGTTTGTATCTGGTACACTGGCTCCACGACATTGTGTATCGGATACACTTCGTTGTTACCGCCCGTTAACACTATATTCACCTCGCCCGGCTTTAAACCTGTAATAGAATAGTAGGCAATGAGAATCATTAGAAAGATGGCGATCATCACATGTAAAAAGGTTGCTGGCATAGCTTTCAGACACTATTCCCTGCATGAGTAAATGCTCACAACAAAAATGAGGATAAATTGCACATAGTTGCCAGCAAGACACATCTAATGCCGAAGAGACTGCCTCTGTAGTGTAGTGGTAGCGTATGCGACTGCTGTGCTGGGTCCTCGGGTTCGGTTCCCGGGTCGGAACAAATGTTTGTATAATCTGCAAATCTTTGTTTTGGAGTTTGGGTGTTTTCTATATATTATATGTATGTATCTACAAAAAAAAATACATAAGTATTCTATCAGTAAATCTAGTTTTCATAGTACAAGCTCTGCTGAGTTTAAAACTAGATGGCGTTGTGTCAGATGTCCGAAAATATTACTATTATTAAGAAAATGCATGAACGTAAATTCTGTATAGCTTCGAGTGTATTCAACAACATTCCGAGGGATATCAAAAAGGTTAAAGAAGTAACTATTATTGAAAAGAAGCTACATGATTTATTGATAAATAAATGTTATTTTAAAGTTAAAGACAACATAGCCGACCAATCTCTGGGCCATTATTCTATACCTCAGTCATGATGTGTTTGATATTCTTTACTTTTATATTATTATTGCCTGTAGAAATTTTCGGTGACATTGTGTTCCATATCGATATTGCTAGTTTTATTCAATATTCAATCATCGATTGTGTTTCATAATGTACATAAATGGTCTTAAAAATGTAAAAATTCAGAACCATATGCTATGGATCCTGGCGGGCACAGAAAGGGTTAGGATAATATATATATTCAGTGTTTAATGCATATTTTTATTATTTAATGCATGTAACTATATTTTAATTATTGTATTAATCGTATGCCCAACGGGCGGGACACAGCTGAAATAAAGAATGAAAACTATAACATCCGTATTATGTACATGGTATTACTGTGCTACATCGAGTCCGACGAGTTAGGAGTTAGGTAGTGGTGTGTACTGACCCCAGCGCGAGGGCCGGTGCGGGGCGAGCGCGGCGGTGGAGGGCGGGGGGCAGCCGGCGCGCCAGTCGCACTTGATCTCCCCGCGCGCGCGCACGCGCACCACCGTCTCGATGCGCTGCGAGCCCCACCACTGGCCTTGGGGCTGTCCCTCCACCGGGGACTGAAAGTTACCCTAACATATCACATAAGTAGACAATATAAATACATACATATATAAATTAATCTCATCTCGAAATTTAAGAAGAGCGTAAGAGAGTAAATAAATTACCATAACCGTTTAGGTACCACTGGTGTTAATGTGATTTAGTTTACAAGTATTTTCACATATTCTCAGGAGGAGTGCGTGGAACATCGCAGTCTCCTTCTGCGAGCAAATTATGCTTGCGAAGGAGATGACGAAGCGGGAAAGGGAGAGGTTTAGAACTCTCCCAACCCGATAGCGGGCGTAGCAGAAGCAGGCCGGGGTGGATGACGGCGCCACGCGCTACTTAGCACGCACGCCCTTCGGGGGCAAGAAGGGAACATCGGGGTTCTCACACAGGAGTGGGTCGTCTATAAGCGTCGGGGTACCAGGGCTTTCCTTTCTAGAGTATGCCTGGTTCCCCTTAGAAAAAAAGGAGGGAGGAGTTGTTGTAAGTAAATAATTTATCTATTGGAATATAATATTTCAAATTTAGTATTTGAATGCGTATATTAAAAATGTGAAGATAATTATTTTTGTCCCTTTTTCAAAATACATTCATGCATGTGGTAAATTGGATTATGTGCACTTCGTCCCATTCGCAACTGGACCAGAACAAACGAACGAACCAGATGGCCTAGTGTGAGTTAATTTCACATTAACTCGATCATCACAGTGACCGCGTTCGACGCTGTGATTGGCACGTACTGAAATATTCACCAATCGCAACGCCAACGCGCTCGCCGCCGAGAGCGAGTTGATATAAAATAAACTCACACTAAGTCCTCAGATGTGAATAGGACCTACCACGAATGGGACGAAGTGCGCATAACCCGTTAAATGCTATAGAGTCTTCACTTTTAATAACTAAATAGAACTTAGTGTAAAAAAGAGCTTTGAAAGTACCTGCTTAGCGACATCGCTCTGATACGCCATGGCCAATTGTTCGTACATTTCATAGTTCCCATCCTCATAGTTATCCTGCTCAAATTTATCTTCTTCTTCTTTTTGATAATTATGGCTTGCGTTGATGACGTCATTGAAACTGTAGTTAGAATTCTGAGACGACGGTCGAAGGTGGCTGTCGTCTTTTTCATAAGGATCTTTGCTGGCGGTGGATTCTTGAGAAGAACACTGTGAGAGCTCTTCTGGTTGTGTAACATCAGGCCTGTCTGAAGGTGTTAACCGGTTTATGTCTAGAGGTTCCTGCAAAATTATTTTTTATTTAAGTCCTACATTTACCTAAATCTACAATGGTACTAATTCTGTTGTTCGAAAACTCTCTAAACTAAACTAAAAATCAATAAAATTTAGTTTAGAACTCTCAAGTACTACGTTTTCAAAATCAGAAACGTTATTTGATAAGACTAAAAAATTTTGAAGTGATTTTTAGTTTAGTTTAGAGTTTTCGAACAATAGAATTAGCACCATTGACTATGTGGGTATCTAAATTTATAAAAATACTAGAAGTTATCAATGCAAAGTTACATTTACTTCGTACTTTAGCCTAGATCTTTGCTTGCAATTAAGAATAATATCAATTACATATAAAAGTTCTCTATATCCACCAGATCCACTACATTTTTCTAGGTAAGATTTACCTGTGTTCTTTTCTGTAAAAACACTGACATTCTCATTATAAGTTACAATCCCCGTTTATCAACTGCGAATTGCATGTGAAGGTTTTTATATTAATGGGAACTAGGTCTATCATAACTTTACATCATACCGTTCTTTGTATGTAGGTTAGAAACTCACTGATTTTGTATGCCTTCCAGAAGGCCAATTCTCGTAATAAAAGTTCGGTCTCAATTCAGTTCCGATCAAGTTTCGATCTCACGACTGTCATAAAAGGTATTTTCGTAATAAATTATTAAACATTCAACGTTGCTTGTAATATGATTACATCATATTTTAATGGAAAATTGAATCGGTAATCTGCTAGTCTTACTAATACTTAAATATTTTACTACGAAAGTACCTTAAATGACAGTTTTGAGATCGAAAGTTGATCGGAACTGAATTGAGACCTTTTATTACGAGAATTGGCCTTCAAGGCACATTATAGACATACATATTAAAGTATAAAACTCTGCATTAGGCTTTAACTTAAAATATATGTATATTGGTGTGGGTTGCACATTCACTCAATAGATTTTTTACTCTAATTTTAAATTAGTTATTACCCAACGTGTAACTGTTTAATGTCCCATTAAATAAAATAATCATCAACTATTTATGTCACTTGCATAATAACTTAAATTTTATAACATGTAAATACCTTACCTTAAATTGCGTAATTTGTTCCTCTTTAGGTACTGGAATATTTTCAAGAATCGTTGCTGATACAACAGTGGGAACAATTTCAGGAACTTTTTGAGATATACTTTCAGATACTGTTTTAGGGTCCCTATCTATTACACTTTCGTTTAAACTTTGAGAAGCACTGTCCCTTGCTTCTTCACAAACAATGTCTTTGACACTTTGACAAAGAGTTTTGTTTACATTTTGAGGCTCATTTTCTGCTGTACTTTGGCAAACACTTTCGGTTACACTTTGACAAAAAGGTTTGTTTTCATTTTGAGGAACAGTTTCAGCTATACTTTGGCTAACAGTTTTAGTTACACTTGGACAAACTCTATCTGCTAGACTAAGAGATATACTTTCAGAATTATTTTCTGTGATATGTGAGTGAGTGTCAGTAACAAACTCTTCCTCTCTCTGTGTCACTAGTTCAAGCTCTTGTATCTTTTGTTTCTCAGCAATTGCTTCTACTTCTTTCTTTATTTGTACACTACCCACAAAATCATTCTGAAGCTCTTTAACGTTAATAATTTCTCTAGGCTTCTGTTTTCTGTTTGAAAATTCTAGCTTCTTTTCATCATCAGTTAACCTTTCTGTTTTGATGTTATTCAAAACATTGACATCAAATAGATCTTCGCTATGTGTTGACTCAGAGGATGACTGTTTTCGTTTCTTCTTTTTTACATCAGATTTCTTCTTCTTTTTTCTTATTTCAGTGTCAGATTCTGAGTCCGAACTAGTCTCAGAAGAAGAAGACGACGATGTTGACGATGAACTGCTGGAAGAACTAGCTTTAGACTTTTTCTTTTTTTGAGTTTTCTTTTTCTTTTGTAGTTTCTTCTTTTTGAGTTTCTTTTCTCTTTTTCTATTCTCTGTAATATGACAGATTATTAAAAAAATCGTCGACTAAATTTACTAACCAAACACTTACAAACAGTTATACTATGTTAACTGTTCGCATTCTATGAAATATAATAATTTATTCGGAAATGGACACGATCGACATTTCGGACCAGTCGCACTGGCCGTGGAGCCAGACTGTCTATTGTTAAGCCTTCAAAATATATTGATCTAGGTAATCCTTTTATTGTTTTACAAACACTTAGTTACGGATGTCAAGGGTTAATGCTCAATTATTATTAATTTTCTTTAATAACTAAAAACTATTGACCTTAAAATTAATAAAACACCTAATTGTTTCAGATTCTTATAACAATATGTTATAAGGTTAAGTTAACATTTTTTATTTGTTTCTCTAAAAGTGACCCTAATGTTGAACATATGTAATGAGTCTTAAGAATTAGTGTGTAAACTAAATTTTGACTTAATCGGTTCAGTAAATTTGGGAGTAAGGCTGTGACAAATGGACAGTCAGAGGCACAAATAGTTGTATAAGGATTCCGTTTATTTTGCTCATACAGAAACCTAAAAATCACACTCAACAAAGAAAATCCATCATCATCATCAGCCTATCGCAGTCCACTGCTGGACATAGGCCTCTCCCATTGCACGCCACTTAGATCGATTTTGGGCTTCTCGCAAGATAATCCATTTCAAAAGTAAAACACTCGCAAACAAAAGTAGATAAGTCAATTAATAAACACTACAAAAACTTACCTTTATCCATATCTTCGTCGTCTGAATTAAATCTTTTCTTTTTCTTTTGTTTATCTTTTAACTTCTTCAAATATTTCTTGCTTAAACGACGATGCTTCGTCAATTTCGACTTTGTCTTTTTAGTCGCCTGTGGGAAACAAAGATAATATTATTACTATTCCTGGGCCGGCTATAATGTCGATGTTCTGACACAAACAAACCGTTATTATTCTAGAAAAGTACATACAAGACATATATTACTAGCATGTGGTGATTTATACAGTTTGATTTGAATATAAGATTCAATTCAAACTCAGTTGCGACATTTGTAGTTACCATTCAGTTATTACTTATAGATAAATAGACAAAACAGATCTTATGATAAAACATTTCATAGCTATCTTTAGATCTTTAGTAAGAGTTATTGACAAAAAAATTGAAATCACTTTATCACTACTCCTCAAAAATATTAGCAAAAAAAGTTTTAATGGTTATAGTCATACTTCTACAAATGGAGGAGGAGTAAGACCATAACTAATAATCAACAGTCCCACACCAGGCAGAGCCTGTGCTATGGTAACTAGACTGCTGATAAACATACTTTACTATTTCTAAATACATACATATTACAGAAAAACATTACACCCAGACACAGACCAAGTGATCATGTTTATCACACAGTTTTTTATCCTGGGTGGGATTTGAACCCACAACCTCCGGTGTAACAGTCAGGGTCACTAACCGCCAAAATCATCAAAAAACATCAAATTTATAAAAGTATTCTAAAATACTTCACTTACCTTCTTACTCGCCTTTCGTTTCTTATTACTGTTACTGTCGCTGTCAGATAAAGACGACGAGCGTTTGCGCTTGCGCACCTTCACTTTATCCATCTTCTGGATCTTATTCGTCTTCTTACTGTTTAGTAGAAATGTCAATGTAGTAGAAGAAAGGGCATGAGGGGACGAAATGTATTATTTTTATATAAGCCCGGTGATGGACCATGTGTTTTAAAAGTTACCAACCCCCGTGTGTGATATATGGGCTGCCTGGCGCATCAGTACATCCCCTTGAAATGGAGAGAAGTTAAAGTAGTCTTCATCCCCAAACCTGGTAAAGGCGACTACACACAACCCAAATCACACCGACCTATTAGTCTCACATCTTTCCTACTAAAGGTTCTCGAGAGGCTAATAGATAGGGAAATCAGGGAAACTGCGTTAGTCAGTCACCCTCTACACCTCAATCAACACGCATACTCGATGGGTAAATCAACAGAATCTGCCCTACATCGAGTTGTTTCATATATAGAAGACAATCTAAATCACAAAAGGTCAACACTGGCCACCTTTATCGATATCGAGGGAGCCTTTGACAAGACCAACTTCACCAGCATTAGCCGAGCTCTGTCTAGGCATGGTGTAGATTCCACAATCTCAGGGTGGATCGACAGCATGCTAAGATATAGAGCTATACAATTCACTGTGAGCGAAGTGACTAGAGGAGTGGTGGCTAGAGGCTGCCCCCAGGGCGGTGTACTCTCTCCCCTTCTATGGAACATTGTTGTGGATGAGCTCATCACACAACTTAATGACCAAAGATTCCTCACAATATGCTATGCAGACGATCTTACTATTCTCATCAGCGGTCCTTTTGAGAGCATTACATGCGATCAAATGAGACTTGCACTGAAGATCGTGGAACAATGGTGCGTAGCACACAACCTGACAGTGAACCCATCCAAAACAGAGATGATCATGTTCACAAACAAACGCAGCCTAGGAAATCTCAGACTTCCCAAGCTATTTGGTACACAACTTACTCTTACCAAAGAGGTCAAATACCTAGGAGTAATACTGGACAGTAAACTCCTGTGGAACAAGCACCTCGATGAAAAACTGAATAAAGCCTGCATTATCTTCTGCCAATGCAAGCGGCTACTCGGCAAAAGCTGGGGACTATCACCCAAAATTACTTTATGGCTATACAGAACAGTCATAAGACCAATAATCACTTACGGTGCTCTTGTCTGGTGGCAGAGAACAGAGCTAAGCACCGTCATAAACAAACTGCAGCAATTCCAGCGACTCCCATGCTCCGCGGTCACTGGCTGTATGCGCACAACGCCTACTGCCGCACTGGAGGTGGCTCTTGGTCTGCCACCCCTGGATCTATTCATACAGCAGGAGGCCGCCATGGCGATCATTAGACTCAAACACCTGGGTCTATGGCACAAACGTGGGGGATCGCACTCTAAATTATGGGATCAATTGGTGGAATACGAACCACTGATAGCAGCGCCATGCGATAGAATCCCAAAACACCATATCTTCACAAGAAGATACTACATCCAGATACATGGAAATGACCGAGATCAATCCGGCATTAACGAAGTCCGAATTTACACGGACGGTTCCAAGACTAGGTCAGGAACTGGAGCCGGAGTTTTCTCGCAAGACCTAAACATAAACATATCACTAGCGTTAGGCCAACACAGTTCCATATTTCAATGTGAATGTGTGGCAATAACTTACGCTGCCACAGCGGCCATGTCAAGGGGTATTAAGGACTACAACATCCGAATAATATCCGACAGCATGGCCGTCTTAAAGGCATTGGAGGGCAACACAATGACCTCTGGTATTGTCTTCGAATGCCACCAAGCACTGGAACAGCTCGCTATATTCAATGGGGTAATCCTCCAATGGATTAAAGGGCACAGTAACTCACACGGGAACGATGCCGCAGATGAGTTGGCAAGGAGGGGCTCGGCAACCCCAACCTCTGGCCTAACCCCACTCCTGCCCATATCGTTTAACCAAATACGATGCTGGGTCAGGCAACGGACCTGTGAAGCACACAACCGGAGGTGGAAAAACTCACCCGGCTGCAGACAGTCCAAACTGGTGCTGAATCAAGTCACACCACGACTCACCTGCAGACTGATCAGTCTTAGCAGACCGGAAATCAGAACGGTTGTCGGAACTATTACAGGACATCTAGCCCTGAACCGACAACTATTCATAATCAATGCGACGGACAGTCCCCTGTGCAGGGGATGTCTGGAAGCTGAAAAAACGGCCGTCCACGTAGTCCTGGAATGCGAGGGAGTGGCCACACAACGGGCAAGTATCATTCCTGATACAAAGTCGCTCCTAGAAGCCTGTGAACGCCCCAGGAGGCTTCTGCGCTTCTGGAAGGAGCTTGGCTGGCTCACCTAGTCAACCAATCCTCGACGCATAAAGGACCACTCTGAGTCTAAATGCGGAAACCGAAGCCCACAACCAATACCAATACCCCCGTGTGTGATAAGTTTTGAATAATTTGGTGGTTAATTATACTCGGTATTATAAGATTTTATTCGGCGACAGTGTGTGCCTTAGAGATCACTTTGTTATAATTCAAAATACTTTATATTCTTTGGCAAAGAGAGATCTAACGTTCGCGATGGTTTGTAGTAGACGTTACGATAATAATTTCAATCTGAATGTAGTTGCTACCTATCTCCGTGTATTGTAAAGGACACCACTGAACCACACCACTGGAATGTCGTTTACAATAATTTTTTTTTGCTAACGACACTACTGCTGACTAGTGATGTAGAACGTGAAATAAAAGAATTCCTTACGTGTATAATAATATGTAGTGTAAATATACAGGACTATCTCTAATCTGAAATCTATTAACTACCAATAGATTTCAGATTCGCTATTAACATAAGTCCTACATTAGTTTTTTTTTTCATATCACGACATATACTTACGTCTTCTCAATATCTTCTTCAACGTCTGACTCCTGACTCCATCCCTCGCTGCACAGCTTAATCTTCTTTGCCTTCTTCTTGTCATCATCCTTCGTATCTTCAGCTTTCTTCTTACGAGCATCTTGTTTGACGGGTGTGGTGCTGCGAGGAGTTCCTACCCTAGTCTCCGCCACTTCGGGCCATACCGCTTCCATAAATCTAAAAATTCATTTCATAAGAGGAAAACACATTTTTTTTGTCGCATACGTTACCACTGCCTCGGTGGTACAGTGGTAACGTAACCTAGAATTATGGGGGTTTCTGTGAGGCCATATCACTTCAATTTTACACAAGGCCAATTTAAATATTTTTAGGGTTCCGTACCTCAAAAGGAAAAAACGGAACCCTTATAGGATATCCATCAGTCTATCTGTCTGTCAAGACCTTTTATCTCGGGAGCTCGTGAAGCTATCGAGTTGAAATTAAAATCATATACAGAGGTCTACGGTCCCTTAAAGCTGTAAACTAATCAAACTAATAAGTTAACGTAAAAAAAAAAGATACGCCCGTTTATGCCGCAAAAAGGTATATTTCGACACTCAAGGGAATCAAAATTCATAGGGTACCTCCCGTTGACCTAGAACTCTGTAATTTGGCAATTACCATCGGCTTATACTACAAGTACGATCAATCATCTAAGGTACAATTTCTCTTATAATATGTACCTACAAATGTGTACGGAACCGTCGGTGGGCGAGTATTCGGCGGATCCGGAGTCCGGTTTTTTTAATCAATCTTACACCCATAGACGCCCACGTTTTTGTTTGAGGATTTGGAGGGTTATTAGGGGATGGATGATTTCTAAACCTATTAGTGTGCAATATATCATATTTCAGAAGAAGCAGACACTACACTACTATTGCAATACAGCCACAACCTTCACAGGATAAATGAAAAAAATTAAAAAATGTATAAACATTTTTACTTGCCTCTGATATTCTCTGTCGAGATAAATCTCTTCGCTCCTGACTGGTGTTGTGGACCTGTTCGTCTTATACGATTTTTCCTTTACAAGGGGCGTCTCAGTTTGGCTATCATCAGCTTCCCACTCGATAGAGGGCGCTACCGTCGTCAAAGTGGTAGACTCTAACAAGCATTGGGCAAATCGAGGATACCAGCCGCGGGCTTTGGGGAATTCTGACTCTTGAATCCTGCAACAAAAGTAAAAAAAATAGATAATAAATAGACCATTGGTCTAGGCACAATCTATTCCGGTAATTTCACATCCAGTGCGTCAAAATCAAGGATGTCTTCATTGTAGAACTTTTTTTTTTACTCAGGGTATAAAAATAATCCAACTAGTTTTAGTCAGTATGATTCCAAGATACGCCTTCACTGTTGGCTCCGGTAAAGGAAAGACCCGTGGGAGTATAAATAAGTATAGTTTTGTTGTATAGTTAGTGAAATAACACTTGAAATCCAGAAAACTGGACTTTAGTAATTTATAATAGATAAATAAATAAATTAAATAATATAGATAAATTAAATAATTTAAAAAATGTTGAGTAGTCAACACGTCTGTTTATTAAATAAGCACAAATGAGCTCATAGACAATTAACAATAATAACTAAATAATATGTACTGCTTTAGCTATTATATGTCACTCACTGGTCACAGCCATACACCCTGTCGACGAGGCCCATCTTGCACGTCTCCAGCTCCTCATAAACAATGGCGCGGTCTTTCACACAGGAGCACAGCTTGGGATTCACTGTGTACCATATCTTGGGAAGACTGTGTGTCTCTCTGAAACACCAAAACCACATTAGCCAAGTCGTAATTTTTATGCTGATGGTTTAACTAATGGTCAATGACTATCGCCGCCAATCACACCTGCTACGGATTTGATGAAATCCTACGTGCCGACGGCTTAGCGTGCTCTCCGAGCGACGTGAATAAATCTTATTCTATGCTCTGTTAATACCGTTAAACTACCAAACATTATTTTGAAACTATGAGCATTGATTGACTTACATTACACAATAACATAAGTAATTAAAAATGGTATAAAAATCCATATATTTTACTTACCTATAACACTTATTTCTATCATGCCTAAAGAGCAAGGGCTGACAGATCTTAAGTACAAAACTCCAGATCTCCAACGAGTCGACTGTCGCCTTAGGCATTTTAACCAATTCTTTCTCCATTGACATTCTATAGTTATCACTATTACTATCCGACTTGTAAGAATTATTCGATTTATATCCACTCTCTGTAGACTTATATCCACTTTCTGTCGACCTATATCCATCAGAATAGTCGCTCCTACTTGATTGGACTTCACGCATCCTATCATCTAATTCAGGAGTCACAGATCGTGCATCTTTAGGAGTCGGGCAATCTCTTGTCGGGGAGTCATATTCAACTAAACCTTTATCCTGACTGGCATCGTCGTTCGCTTCGTCACACATCACGTCTTGTTTAATCTCGTTTATAACTGATTCTAAGAACGTGTCGTCAGTTAAAGCATCATTTGAGGCATCTTTGCTTGATTGATCGAGGTCAAATATTTTACCAAAAGGAGAATCGTATTCATCTTTCTTTTGTTTTACTTTTGTATACTTTTCTAATTCTGAATTCTCGTCAAATATATCAAGAACTTCATCTTCGTCAGGGTCAATTTCAAATTTGAAAGAATCTATCACGGGCTGAAGTCTTTTTATTTTTCTGACGGGTGTAGTTTTAGGGCTGTCATTTGGTACCTTTTTCTCGCTTACAGTTACGTTTAGTTTAGAGTTTACTTCTTCAGGTTCCGTGGCAATTTCTTTAACGACTTTTGTTTTGTTTTCTTCCGATTGTGGTGTCTCCTGGTGCTTAGGACTTGAACTGTTGGTCTTATCTTCATTTTCTAATGACCAACTGTCACAAACAAGATAATCATTTAAATTAACATCGGTTTCTTTTTCAACAGGCTTCTTCGTTTCTTTTTTGGCCTCCTTTTTAGTTTCTTTCTCTCTAGATTTCTCTCTAAAGGTGTCTTTTTCATCTCTGCGCCTGTCCCGTTCATCTTTTCTATGGGAATAATGCTGTCTGGAATCTCTGTCATACTTGTCGCTCTTTCGCCTTTCTTTATCATGCTTTTTATACGATTCTCTATCATATTCTTGCTTTCTTATAGCATCTACTTCTTCTTTTTTGCGTTGGAATGGATTATCATAATCAGGCAATAGCTTTTGGTAGTCAAATTTGAATTCTTTACCTTGAGCCTTGGCCTTTTTAGCTTCGCTGATAATTGCATCTAGCTTGGCTGGATCTGAAAGAATAATAAATAACACGTTTTCTAGTTTCTTTACTGTGGCATATACTACAGCTATATTTACGTTTAAATACGACTAAGACTACTTACTACTATTTTTATAACACTATAAAATGATCTAATATGTATACATACTAGAAAATGACTATCAAACTATACTGATGTAAAATTTTGTAAGCTGGTAAATTATTCTTACTTCTAGACATATTACACATCAATGTCATGAATGCCTGTATTATCCTACAATACAACCACTGCACCCCTCTGGCGGTAACTAAAGGAGTTAAGGAATTTCATACAATGAATGTCTTTTAAATGCTATAATTTATGCTTAAGGCCCTTCAATCCTGTTAGATTAAATAAATAAATAAAATGGTTACTAAAACCTATGAATACAAGTTAGTAATTACAAATTATGACTTAGGCAAACTCTATAGTGTTGTTACATGAGAACTTGGTATACAACTACTAAACATGATACAAGCCCTCTTAAACAGCCTTCGCAAACTTTGTGAGGATGTCTGAAGGTTACAACATGATGTTCAACCATTTAATCAATAATATTTCTATTTGAATTATATATTTACTATAAGAATAATCTATATAAAATCTAAATATAAATATTATCAACTAGATGGTACCCGCGATACCCGCATTCGTACGCGTGGAATTTAAAAAGCGTGTAGTACGGTACGTGACTCCAGTCCATTAGCCCTAAGGGTTTGATTCACTGACCGGGTCAAATTTTATAGAATTTTCTGAGAGGAAAAATAGTCTAAGTTACTCCTTAGAGACAGTTAACTGTAGATGCTAACTTTAAAGATTACCCGAAACAGACAGACAAAAAATATTTAAACTGGTTTTCAGGCATAGGTATCATGCAAATAACCGTGTGAGCATGAAAAAAAAAGCTATTATTTTAACATTACAAACATACACTTCAATTTTATTTATTTGCATAGATGTATAGATTAAAGTACTTCCGTAATGAATGTAATCATTACGGAAGTACTTTAGGGGTATTAGTACTGCATATATTAATTTAGTCTTTAACTTAGGTCTTAATATGGCAAATTTAAAAATACACGAAAATAAAGTAACTTGATATGCTTAAAAAAGATAAAGAGACATACCACTAGTTAATAATAGAAAATATAAAACTAATACAACTATAAAACTGGTCACTCTAAGCTGTTATCCTCATAAAACTTGAGAAGGTATTCTAAGAAGAACATCTACATGCTCCCACCCATGCGATAATGGTCATTATACCAACTTTTACACACAGAGCAGTGACACTCGCTGACGGGCATACGCTTCTCATCATGCAAGGTGCTGCATCTCCCGCATCCATTCACGCAGACGCAATTCCTAAATGCTTCATGCATACGAATTGTGCATAAAAGCCAAGCGAGTGGAAGAGGTTTAAGGGTTAGTTAACAAGCAATATAAAATGAATGGCGTCGCTCTTGCAATTTGATAGGTCACGCCTCGGGTTCTGCACGCGCTAGCAGTGAAGCATGCTTGTTTGTATTTTTAGTTATATTAAAAATGCTGGATTTAGTAACAAGTAAAAACGTCTTAAGTTAAGAAATGGAATTCATATGGTTATTGTTATATTAAGGTGAGTGTAGACTAGTTCATTTACTAGTAACATAATATCGAACATTCGCTGTTTTTAAATTGACTCGAACCACACTTCGAACTTGACGCTCGATTATTTGTTTCAATCTAATTTTAAAAACTAACGAGCGTTGTGGTGTAACATTTTATGGAGTAAAGGCGTGAGCGCAAGTGATGGGGAACGGCGGAGAGTGGGGTGTGCGGGCCCAGGGATAAAGCAGGTTCAAGTTCTTGTTCAAATTGTTCTTTCTTATATTTATATAATTCATCAAGATAAACGCAGCACATGCGGGTCCGAAATTTCAACAAAGAGTGTAAAGAAATGTTACAGGTAAACGCTTACAGGCCATAAGACACAAACACTCCGTCGAGCAATCACAAGAACGTAACGTTACATTGAAATGCTCGAGGAAATTCATAAGTCTATACTCACCTTTATATTATGTTACTTCAACTACAACAATGTGAAAGGAAAAAAAAAGAATTAAAAAGTAATGAGAAAAAAGTAATGAGAAAAAAGTTAAAAAAAAAAGAAAAAATAATTAATTTTAACTGTTTGAAAAAAATGTAACATTAATATCATTCAAATATGAACAAACCAAATAAAACAATGAGGTGTACAAGGTCTATATCTGAGGGAAGATATTTTAAGACATGTAAATAAAAACCAATGACATATATAAGATTCTACTTACCCAAAAATGACTTGATAGGTGGCATAGCTTTAGTGGGCATAGCCTTTTCATTCTGAGCAGTAGGACAGATGAGACCTAAAGGTATACCAAGGTCGACTAGTTCCATCTTACGTTTCATATCTTCAATTTCTGATAGAGTGCGCTTTTGAAGATCTGTGTAAGAATCTGTTGAAGAACAAAAATCGTGTTAGATCATAGGCTGATTCTGACGATGATGATTAAGTCATGATTTTATCTCCTTTCTCACCTTGTAAATACTTCTTGCTGTGACCAGGTTTTGGCGGTTTTGGTAACTTCTTTTGTTCTGCATCTTCACTTTTGGGAGTGACTTTCACTCCACTAAGCTTTCCAATGAATACAGTACCTGAAATTAAAAATATTGTTATGTAAGATTTTCAGACAGCAATAAAGCTTAGTAAAATTTAACTATGAGAATAATATATCTTCAATCTTCATACAAGTGGTTTTATTTGTCTTTTACGTGAATTAAATTATTCAACAATGATAATATCTTGAGAAATTACACAGACCTCTTTAGACCTAAACTTTTTCTTTTTACCTTAATAAGGCAACTTCCACACTAGGAATATACGCGGGAGACTTTCCACACATTTATGAAACCCCAGACAAAGAACAACAATTTGTAGATCACACAGCATTGTGCAATGTGGGGGTTGAACTCCTAACACTCAGCACATGTAGAAACTCATCACCTATCGGGTTCACAGTGAAGTGGTGTGTCTGAATTGAACTGACTAAATCCACACAGCATTCCTTCATATGTTAGTCTTTTAAAAGAGACTCACTAAAACCCTAGGCAAGGGGTCCCTGGGAAGCCATAGTTGATTTGAATCATGCTTTATGTCCTCCTTTGCTGTACATGTCTTTCTGTCTGAACTTAATCAGATTAATCTGAATCCATATTTAACATTTCTTTAATTGATTTTCTTGTTGGTTTTGTTTAATGTATTGTCCAATTATTGCATAAATTGCCACCTGACATGTACACATTGTTATATGTTCTACTTAATTGTACTGCAGATTTAAATCCACATGCAAACATAATTGTAAATTGTTAATGAATAAATGAAATGAAATGGAAATTCTTCAATAGATTTTAATATGGTTTTCACAAAAGGATAAACATTCATGAGGATGGTCTAGGTGTATAATTTATTTTTATTAACATTACTTGAAAGATGTTCAAAGAAATCACGTTAATTAGGAGCTTTATCATCATCATCATCAACAGCCTATACTAGTCCACTGCTGGACATAGGCCTTTCCTAAGAAAGGAGGTTTATGTATTAAAGGCGGTTGTTACGATGTGATATGTGACTGGGCCAAACCGTCTAAAATGTTGCGTCTAAACCGTCTAAGAAGAATGGTATAGTTAGAACTATTACTTACTGCCGCTGCCTGATGTTTTATTTCCAGTTACAGATTTGTTTACAGATAATGCTGTGATAGGTGTCTTCTTTTGAATAGAGAATGCTCTCAATCTCTTCTTTGCATTCTCCACTCCTTTTACTGAAGGCTTCAATTTAAATGTTGTTGGAGAATTTGGATTTAAAGTTTGTGGTATTGGAATGTTGATTGTTGACTGAAATTGAAGAGATGTAATAAAAACTTAAATCACTTTAACACTGTTTTTTTTTATATAGAATCCCAATTTTTATGGCAATCTATCAATACAAACACAAAAGGTAAAACAATATGTGATAATATTAATTTATACACATAAATCATTCTTCATATGAAAATGATAAACAGTAAAGAAAACAATTAAATAAGATCAATAGGGATTTCTATTTAAGTTCTGTAACTTACATTTCATTTTAAGTACATGTAGTAAAAGATTTTTTTAAAGATTCTGTAGAACTCTATCACTAAAAACAGAACTACAATGGCAAGACGAAGTAAAAAGCCAGCTGTCTACCTGCCATGATAAACAATTTATTTTTACCAATCTACGATCTATTTATAAACATAAATCAATATCACTCCGACGTACTAGATACATAGGTATATCTGTTTATAATATTATTGATATTTCGTGTTTCGTACCATAAATATACTTATACCGTTTGCCGGGAAAACTCACCTTATTTGCCTCTAATTTGAATGTTGCCGATTGCCCGAGCTCATCAGAGCCCTGGGAATCCATGCCTGGCTTCGTTAGATCTTCACTTTCCATTATTCTATTGTATGTTTGTTTCAAAAGAAAATTACAACTATTATGTTCAAGCCATAATTGGCAAAACGTTTAATCACTTGTCAGATTCGCATTTAATAGCGCTAAAAGTTTATGCATCAGTGACAATTAAAAAGTAGGTTAGTCAAACGTAGTAGAGCACGAATAAAGATTGATGTAAGTTGTATTCGATTTTAACATTTCTTTATAAATGGACAAGTTCACATTCACGGACGACTCCTGCCGAACCGAGGAAATATAGAATTTGGGAATGTTATTTTTCGGCATTTGGGAGATTTATGAGAAATAGTTCTTCAAACCTTGAGAATCGTTAAGTAGCGAAACAATGAAATAAATTAATTCACTTCAAAATTACTCGATGTACTCGATAAAAGATTGCTTACTTCTTTATGTCGCTTTGTTTGGCAGATCATATAATTAAAAAGCTAGAATCATAAACTCGACTAGACTCTAGAGCGCAATAGACAAACAGACTTTACCGCGAACGAACAAAACAAAAATGTTTCTGTGGGTGAGTTTCGAGTTTACACCATATTTCTTTTCTCTTGTATGTTTTATCTCTATGGTTTACACACGTGTTTGAGTGAGTTTTATTGCAGGGAGTAGGGACACTATGTAATAATGTTACTATAAAATGATACTGAGGGTAATTCTTATAATAAAAATTCTCGATTCGGATCTACTCTCCATCTTACAAATGTCATAAAAGATATTTTCAAAGGCAGGAAACAAATTGTTTATCAGATGGATTAATGGATTGCACCATTTTATTAAAATGACAATTTGTTATCCCATGTGCTGATGGAACTCACGACACTCGGCGGGCGGTGCCGTAGTAAAGAATGTCATCACCTAAACGACTACGCTTGTAACAGTTATTTTTTTGTACATTTGTAATGCGTACGGTATTGTTAAAAGCGACTCCTGTTGGCCGCATCGCATTGTTGTTGATTTATCTAAAGTAGTTTGTAGCTACGGTATTGATCTCCTTTGTTCACTTTCGGACCACTAGATGGCGTTGGTTTGAGACATGATAGATTAATTAAAAAGACTTACTTTTTTAATCTGTTCTGGTAATCTGTCATGACAAATTGTATAGGTATTGAGAGTGTTCAGCTATGGTGGAAAGCAAGTTACTTTTGATTTTGTTAGCGTTGTTTTCTTTCTCAATTTAAATGTCAAAGTGAAGTGATGAGGAAGGGTTAATTTCTGGAAGATTCCTGAACCGAGGATATATAAGTCCGGCTTTCTACCACGAGAGACACTCTGCTATCTCGTGTCTTCCAACCTTAAATAGTGTTTTGATTGTCGTGTAATTTGAATTTCGTAATATGTAGTCTGTTCAAATCTACCCACTAAAGTGGTGAGTATGGTCTTAATTCTACTTAAACCTAATTGTTTCTGGAACCTGTTTAATTTATGAGTGCTAATCCATTCGTAGGGTCCCAGATTTCGGGGTCAAGACGGTCAGTCTCAGACGGCGTGCTTGCTCTTTTGTGGCCTTCTGGTTCAGACTCAAGTTTCTCGGTACCCTCTGGCAAAGCTGGTGATTGCGCGGCTCACGACTCAAGCGGACAGCCGTACCCAAGAGTTACGTACTTAAACTTATAATTGCAAATTGTTAAACTTTTATCCATATCTAATATAAATAGCCGACTCGGGCGGAAGAGGAAGTAACCTCCTGGAGGGACGACGAGGAGGCACCGAGCACCATCAGCTCGGCTCCGCTGCAGTTTTTTTTCTTTTTCTTGTACTGATTTATTTATTGATTAATTTATACACTGATTAATTTATGTAATTTCTTATTGTAAATTTGATCTACTTTTTTTTGAAATATACATGTATGTATAACTGAGGTGTGAGTTGTTTTCCTCTAGTGAGTCCCGTAGGTTTCCCACACGCACACACATCTGTTTTCTTATAAAGGCGCCCTGAGGTTATCTCATCAATCTCTCCACTGGGTCATCCGGTGAGTAGTCCGCCAGAGAGGAAAAGCGGTTACACGCTATGTTTGTAGTCGAATGAAGGAAATGACAATAATTTACGCTGATCAAGCCGTCAAAAATTTGTAAAAGGCCATAAATACCTTCATTTATCCTGTTTTTATTTAAATAATATATTAGTATAAATAAAGATTATGTTTGTTAAGTTAAAAAAAAAGTAGCTTAACTTGTTCAGTTAATTAAAAAATTATAATTCAATTATTTTTCTATTTTAATATTATACTACCGTAATTAGTAAAAAAAATTGGTCTTGCAGAAAAGAGACGGGTACTGGCCGCATAGTCGCTGTGTCTCTTTCTAGAGAGTGGGCACTTTTGTGAGGATAGAGCTCAGTCTATTCTCTATGTCTATGGTTGGCCTGAAGTGGTCGCCGTCTTCTTTCTCTATCTAAAGACGTCACCATTCCACTTACAGTCAATCCAATACCTTCTCCCTTCTATCGTGTTATCTCTATGAACACACCGACTTAGTAAATACTATGGAGGGTAGAGTCAAGGCGAACCATCTCTATGTTTGAAACGTGTCCGTAAAAACTCGTCCAATATAGCTGCCTAGCCTAGGATAAATTTATATTGGCTTAAATAATAATTAGTCGCTGTAATAGACTTCGAAAATAGTTAAAAATAAGTTTTACAGACAATAAATAAACGTGCAATACCTTTCAGACAACAAAAGCATCATAATATTTTAACTCAGCCCTCTTCACTCCGTCTACAAGAGCTATGTTCATATCGTAGTTTTTCGTACGCCAGCGACCTCTATTTTCAGTACACGGATACACTTTTTCCAACTTTCCCTCGTATGAGATGATTTTCCTTGCCTCTACACTATAGTATATACTTACTCAACCACAGCTCTACATAAAATCCTTTGACAATTGACAGCTTGTCATACGAATCGAACATGCATTGAATATTGGCCAATGGCCATGCCCAGCCCTCAAATTAAGAGATATGTATAATGTGTATGTGTATGTATAATGTGTATTGTATATAGTATATGACATAGGTACATAGTATGGCCCAGTCCATTAGGATTGCGAAATTGTGGATGTAGCACAAACTCCACAAGGCACAAAACCATTGATTATAAATAAGTAGTTGATAAATTAAAAATAAATTGTTTAATTATAACCTGTAAAATGATAGCAGAACAAAAAATGGGTCGCATGGTGGCATATCGTACAACCGGTAATTATTTATTAATCTTTCTGCAATTTATTTTACCTTATAAAAACTTTTATATATATCATATAGTCATAATTATCGTCTACTTTTTACGTTAATTTTTTCTCTATGTATCAATTTAATATCAACAGATTAAGCCGACTAAAATAAGCACGATATGCTCAGAAGATTTCAGTGAAGAAAATGTACAGGTTTCTTTAAAGGCTATATTTACTCGAAAATCCAGTTCCAACGTTAAATTATTAAGTTTTCAAGTGTAAAAAGGTGTAACAAGACTTTTTTCCGACACTTTCTATAGTTACAGCCGTGTATGAATTATATAACTTGGTTCCGACCGGGGACCGTCCATAATCCTTTCAAGCTGTTTTTTTTTTGTAATTTCAATTTAATATTTTTATCATATCTCAATCCAAGAAGCCCAAAATCGATTTAAGTGGCGTGCAATGGGTGAGGCCTATTTGGACTGCGATAGGCTGATGATGATGATGATGTTCATACTCTTACCATTTATATTTTTACGGGATCAGAAAGTTATAGACACAAATAAACCACGACCTTCAGTCTATCTGCAGGAAATAGCACCTTTGTCTCCTGGTTTGGTTCACAAAATTCAAGGTATTAAGACAAGTAAAGGATCTCCCATCGAAAGAAGTACAAAATTAGATAAGACTACAATTTCCTATCAGCAAAATAAAAAAGCAAAATTAAAATCAGGCTATTGTTTTCAAGGAATCTTAAAGAAGAAATTAGAAATAGAATTAGTAGAAGAGAATTTTGCTATAGCAAGTAAGGTATTCAGCAATTTGAAAACTCTTAATGTAGATGTTATTGATCAAGAACGAAATATTAACGTATAACGAAATATTAATTACTTAACGAAAAAAATAAATAAAATTCAGCTGAAAGAATGATGATGAAGGAATCTCGGAGTGTTGATTTTTCTTATGTGACTGCGTCTACTGGGACTCGGAGACATGACTTTATCAGACTTGTTGCCCCCTTAAAGCCTAATCTATCAAAGCTCAAAGTTAAGACATAACTCATAAGGGAAGCTTTCTTACAAGGTTCTGAAAAATAAGTATCTGAAAATCATAATATTTCATAATTCATAGAAAAAAACTTAGATGAAGGACAGGGATTATTAAGAATGAAAGTTGAACCCGGTAGTAATGGTAGTACCTGGTGGAAAACTCTTTGCATGCATCTATGGGTGGCGACAGTCACTTACCAGCAGGGGACCCGTATGCTTGTTTGTCCCTGTACTGTAAAAAAGATTTTAACTCGGTAATTTAGATTTCAGGGTTAGAGTAATAATAATAATAATAATAATAATCTTTATTTACCAGAAAAAATACAGATATAGTTTGTGCATAAAAAGAACAACAGATTAGATTTTAATTACAGTAGTGCATTGTACTTAGTCCTTAGTTGCTACGAGTATAATCTGTACCAAAAATAATAACGCTATCTCTTAAACTAGGTATTCCTGTATTTTAAGAGCTAGTGTCAGGCTATCAGTTTACACTAAAAGAATTATACAACAGGTTGGAAGCAGTGTTGATCTTTCATTAAGGCAAGCAATTTTTAATCTATTTTATATAATATAAATATTTCGATTTGTATGGATATATTTATGGTGTGAGTGTATGTGTGTGAGTGTGTGTTGTGTGTGTATATGTGTTGTGTGTGTGAAAGTGTGTTTGGGGGGGTCATGAGAGGTATTTTAAAAGAGACTCTGTTTGGACGTAGTCTTGATTTTGTAACCACTCGGTCACTTTAGACTTTACTTCATATATGTTAAGATCTCTAATACCCAACTTTTTATGTATTTGCTTATATACGTGAGTGCTTTGCGTATAGTACTGGTATTTAGCAAATGTGGTATTGTGTGGGGTGCCTGGGAGAAGGTTGGTTCGCTTCGTAGGGTCCGCAGGGGGTAGTCTCGAATGCTTCCTAAGGATCGATTTGAGCACAAAGAGCTGACGTACTGTTAGTACTCGACATTCTGAATATAATTTTGTAGTTGGGTATTTCCTGGGCTTTTTGGTCATAACTTTAAGTATGGCTCTTTGTGCTCGTTCTACTCTCAGAAATTTTGTTTTATTTGCTCCTCCCCAAACAACGATACAGTATTCTATAATTGATTTGCATAAGACATTATATACTAAGTTTAATGTAGCGCTGTTCGCAGTCTCCCTGAGTGTCTTAAATATGTGAATGAGACGCATTACACGAGTAGTCAATGCATCCAATTGTTTATCCCATTTTAGTGCATCGTCAATAAGGACACCTAGGTACTTAACGCTATCAGTCCTCTTGAGTGTAGCGCAAGAACAAGACACGGATTGGTCTGTACATGAATGGGCAGTTAGTGAAAAAGAAGAAGGCGGGGAGGTGTTACGTCGAATGGCAAAGGGAATAAAAACAGTTTTGTTTAAATTTAGGGTTAACAAGTTTGAGTTTAACCAACTCATTATTTTAGCAAGAGTAGTTTCTGCCTCTCTTTTAACAAAATCCCAAGTAGATCCATAAACTATTATTGCCGTGTCGTCGGCATAAGCGCATAGCTTGGAGTTTGGAAAGTCCATCGTGCACAGATCATTAACATATATCTGGAAGAGGGTAGGGCCAAGGATACTACCCTGCGGAATACCGTAAGTCAACTGCTCTTCATCACTCAGATACATATCAATTTTAACACACTGGGTGCGATTTTTTAGGTAATCCTTGAATATGTCTAGTACAATGCCTCTCACTCCCAGGCGTTCCATTTTCGAAAGAAGTTTGGGAACAGAAACCTTGAATGCCTTGGTAAGATCCAAGAATATCCCCATACATTTAATGCCGTTATCAAGCTTTCCAGCGACCAGCTGTGTGAGTTCCAGTATAGCATCCTCTGTTGATATGCCTGACCTGAAACCGTACTGGTTGTCAGCTATAATTTTGTATTTCTCTAGAAAAGTTCTTAACCGGTTGTTAAGAATCTTTTCCAAGACTTTAGAGAGCGAAGACAAAACAGATATGGGTCTGTAGTTGTTGACACAGTTTCTGTCCCCTCCCTTGTGAATCGGGTGTATTATCGCCTTTTTGAGTGAGTCTGGAAATACGCCTGTTTGCAAGCAAAGATTGCAGATATATGTTATAATTGGCACCAATACCGGAAGACTGTTTTTTAGTAACAAATTTGATATACTATCCCATCCAATAGCACAATCACTGCGCAATTGTAGGATCAAGGACTCCACTTCGACCTCATCTACCTCAATTACACCAAGTGAATTTACAGGAGTGTGTGACGCATTGTGTGACTTTCGATGCAAAGCATTAACCACTGACGGATCAGAGTTTTTACCCCGTAACATGATTTCTTCAGCCATATTTTTACCTACCCCAGCAAAGAATTTGCAGACCTCATTTATAGATGAAATGGGATTTTCATGTAATTGTAATAGTTCTACTGGGCTATTGCAAACTTTTTGAGTATTCGTTATTGTTTTAATCGTTGTCCATAATGCTTTAGGATTGTTGCTAGCTTTTTCGAGTTCATTTTTTTCGTAACAAGTTTTTAGTTTTCGCAGAAGTGAATTGCAATAGTTTCGGTACCTAGTGTAGGTGATTTTTAATATTAGGTCGTCTGGTACATTTTTTGACTGCATATGTAATCTATCCCGATGTTGTATACATTTAAGTAGACCAGGTGTCATCCACGGTTTTAATGTTCTGTTTCGTCTTGATATTCTAATTTGTTGTGTATGTTTAGATATAATAGATTTTATTATCCTTATAAAGTGATCCATAGCTGAATTTGCATCTATCATTGCATAAATTATCGTAAAGTCTGTGGTTTTTAACTCCAGTTTGATTGCATCATAATCTATTCGAGCATATACATGGGTTCTTTTGCGGGTGGGCTTAACGTCAGCTATAGACAAAGTTGACAAGAGTGTATGGTAAGTACGTGTTATAAATTTACAATGAATGGTTTATAGGTTAAAAAATACTGGGGTGACCTTGGAAATATTAACTTCATACTTTTTGGACTTGTTTGTGGTAAATTACATACACAGGTGAACACAAGTTAAACAAAATAATTATACAAAATTGGTTAAAATTTATTACACATATATACATCATTAAAATATATTAATCCTTTCATACATTCAGAAATGTGAACACATCAGTAGGTAAACTGCTCTATAAATGAAATAGTAGAACTGAAATGAAATAATAGAAATAAAATGTTTTTAATTTATTTAAATCTGTCTTGTTCACGAATAAAAATATATTTACAGATCCGACCTACGTTACTTATAAGTTACCCAACCTGTAAGTACCAACCTCCAGCCACTGTATGGTTAAAGTGGTTATATTTTAAAATTCGACTGAATATCCTGCCTGTCTTTCTAAGAATACGACAAAGAAATTCTATATTCTTTACGAACGACGACGAGCGTCCACTGCTGGATATTGCCTCCCCCAAGTTTTACCACAACAACGGTCCTGCGCTGCGGTTCCAACGGTTTCCCGCGACCTTCACCACCTTTTTTTTTCTTTAAAGACCACCTTGTGGGGGCCTAGCCACGCTGCGTCTTCCGGTACGCAGCCGCCACTAGAGAAAGTACTGCGAAATTAGTGTGCTAGAGATACTCTTATTTGTACTCTTATATATAAGAAATACCTACACATTTAAAGCAAGTCCGCGACTTAACTCAAGCCTGTTAACATAAAGTCCGTATCACTGAAATTCAGATCTGCCATTGGTTCATGCGTATCTGAAACAATAATGTATTTACACTTAATTTGTATACTTACGGATAAGGCTAGGCATAGCAGCTTAAGTATTACCATAAAAGCGATTTCATAGTTTCATCAAAAGCGTACCTAGAGGGTCAGAATTTTTTATATGGATGGATTAGTTTAAGTGCAATAATTCTGGCAGGGCACGGTATGAATGTTTTTATCAATGATAAAAAATACTAATCAAATACTACACTGTCAATAAATTATTGACATTAACCCACAGTGTGCTGTTCACTTGAGTTGGTAATGAGTAATACAGCTTATACCAACATAACTTTATTCACTTAGCTCCTACAAACCCTAATATAACATATTTCACACAAACCTTCCAAAGACTGTGTAATATTCGTAGGCATTTCATGCTTAACTTCCAAAATCTGACCACCTCCAATATCATTGACATCGGCAAACACAACTTCTGGAAAAAGCGATTCCAAATCTTCTGTACCACAGCTTTTATCTTCTTTGTCTGTCAACTTCTTCTTTTTGCATTCTTCTTTTTTCCTTGAATCTTTTTTTCTTTTCTTGGGTTCAATGTGTTTTATGGCCAGTATCCTTGTGACTTCGTTACGAATTTTTGTCTTCATGTCTTCTGGAAGATCGATGCCACTATCATTTTGTTTGACATATTTTGTAATGGGCAGGTCGTCGTCACTGCTGCCATCATCGATGGGGATACGAGAGTCAACTGTTACGTGTTCTACGTTCACGAAACGTTGCCACTTCTTTATTAAGTCATCTGCTACTTTCTGTAGAACACATTAGTCATATACGTATATTTATTACTTCCTATAACTATTTATAGTCTTATTTAAGTGAAGCGAACATTAACTTATGGCATCCCATACATAAGAAATGTGAAAATAGGTATCCCATCAAAAATAGGTTTAACACATTAATTAGAATAAGGATAACCACAAGTTTCGTGTGGTGACGGATAAAGAATACCGAGTGTTCCACCCCAACTCCGAAACAAATATTTGCAGATCATACAAACATTTGGTCAGACCCGGGAATCGAACCCGAGACCTTTGTACAGCAGTCGCATACGCTGCCACTGCACCACCGAGGCAGTCATAATTAAATACATAGATATTATAGATAAACTACACTCACACACAGAACAAAATGATTGTGCTGTGTGGGAATTAACCCCAACCTCTGGCTTAACAGTAGCAATAGGCCAACATTTCAGTCAAATCTTTGAACAAACATATTTTAAATTAAAATCATAAGCACGGCATAGCATTTGACATTACGTAAATCTGAAAAGATTTAGAAGCATAAAGTAGCATAACTACAGTGACTATACTGACTACATGTGGTGAAACGAAGTAACATAGGATCCTCCCTTTGCGTTGGAGGGACATGACACCCGTTCCTCCACAATGGCATTATTAGCCTCTCGGAACTAAAGTTAACAAAAAATTAACAATAATCAGGTAGGTACTCACAAAATTGACAGGCTTAGGTATCCTCAACATGAAATGATCAGGATGTGCTTCAAACATCTCACACTTGGAGCACAGGTCGTAGTCAAGGCATGTGATACATTTATATCGGTAACCGAGTATCACCTTAGAACAACTGTTGCAAGCAATATCATTGTGAACTGCTCGTGTCTCTTCCTCAGGCTCTGTAATAAGAGTTAAAAGGTTAAAGTAATTTTAGAATAAACATAGCACTAAATAGTTTGTTACCGTTACCCGTGAATGCATTTACATAACGCCATCTAGTTTCAAACTAAACGCCATCTAGTTTAAAACTAAGCGGAGCTTCTACGATGAAAGCTAGATTGACTGATAGATTACTTACATACTTTTTATGTAAATGCATACATATTATACATAGACAACACCTTAACTCCAAAACAAAATGTAATGTTAACACCACTGTATACCCTTGATCAGCAAATAAATATTATTATGTATTATATTAAATATTTGCAGATCATACAAACATTTGGTCCGACCCTGGAATCAAATCCGAGACCTCAATTTTTGTCCTGGGTGGGATTCGACCCTCAACCTCAGTCCGGATCCCTAAACCACTAGACAAACAGGCATATCCTAAATCAATTTTGCCAATCCACAAACCCCATGGACCATGGTCACTGGTATAACAACAAAAAAATGCTATCCTACTTGTACTGTGACTAGATTTAGTTCTGATCACTGTGTCTAATATACGGAAAACTCTTTGAGATTTTAAGTTTTTTGATTTGGTTTGATTGCTAATGTGCAAGACTTTTTGTTTCACAACTTTATGCACTTATGAACATTAGCAGACTTGACACCTAGGGTATTTTCTACCCACCAGGGACTTCCTTTCTAGGGTATACCTTGTTCCCTGGCTATTAGTACCCGAGACGGCATGCGGTTTTAGTTGGTTCGAGTCCGAAATGCCACTGGGAACACCGTTCATGTCTAATATAACCACCAATGGGTTGTATCCAAAGGGATTTCAGCACAGATAGGTGTAAGGGCATTTTCTACCAGCCAACCTTTGGGTGGTGTAGAAATTTTCTAAGGAAGGTGCAACAAGGTTATTTATGGGAATAAATGTTTGATTGAATTAATTAATTTATAAAAACTATGCACAGGTTACTACAAACATAAACTTATACATAGGGACACAAACATGTATATTTACACATATGCAATAATATGCTTACACACTTAATATACTTACATACACTATGAAGTGGTGTACTATTGATGATTGGATACATACCTTCTGATTTATTACCAGGTAGATATAGTGTGGGCATAGCATCAGCACACAAATGCTTATTCTTAATACTTGCTGGAGAAAAGTGTCGAGAACACACGCGGTAGGATAGTTTTTTGAGATTTTTCTCAAGTAAATCTTCTCTCCCTATGGCTCTTAGCCATTGCTCTAACCTGAAAAATGAAGTATCAACATTATGCATTTTTCCTATATAAATAAGGATCACTGTTTGTATGTTTGTCCTCTAAGCAATCGGATACCATTGATCAGATTGTGATGAAACTTCGGTAGGCTAAAACACCCGCGAGGGTTCTTGGTCCAAAAAATCTATATACCTACAAACCAATTTTTGCCGCCGCAACGCATAACGGGTACAGCTAATTGATTAAAGAATCTTTTTAATTATAATTTTTAACCTGATAGAATATTAATAACCATACAATTCTGTACAGTAGTTTTGGTGGAAATTGATCCACTAAAAAGTTTATTTGAAATAGTGTTAATTGGTACACACCGAAGATTGTCTTTAGGCACACCATAGTAAAATAAATGTTTACTAGTTTTACTGTTCCGACCACATCCAAATACACAGCAATAATTTACCATTCTGTTATAGCACAGTTTTTTATCACAACAGCAGCGAAACCAAAACAAAAACTTTGTTTTGACAGCGTTGTCATTGGTAGTCAGTCTGTTAGTGATAAATGCCAAAAGGGGAAAAAAAAAAACTAGGTTCCAAACCATGTCTTTTTGGTATCCATTTTCATCCATCCACGACTGATCCATGTTCAGATCCATGTGATCCATGTTGTTGATACTATTGTTCTAAAGTGTCATGTGAATAGACTTTATCTCATCCTATATTGGCACGAGTACGGGTTTTTAACAGTATGTATTTTGGAGGTAATAGAGACTGGGAAAAATCATGAATGAGAATATCAAGACCAGATCATTGTTATTGCACTCCAGTGATACCAAAAGGGATATTAGCATCATAGCCAATATTAAATAAAATGTTTAATGTTAAATAAAAATGAATAATTCAATCCCAGTGTGATAAATAGGTATCATACAGATGAAAAGGGAGATCCCTGGCTTCCTGTTAATACATTTCCGTCCCCTTTGCACGAAATTATTACTACAAATTGAAGGAATCATTTCGTGAAGAGCAAGAGGAAAGATTTTAAACATACAAATATGAGAAGTAGAAAACCTAAGAAAGTGTAAATCACAGTATGAAACGTTGAGTACTGTGTCTATTGTACGTTCTGCTTTGGTAGGAATGTCCCACATTTTGGACCCCATTTTTCTATGGAACACAGTCTTCTAATTGTTTTGGAATAACACAGATGTTTAGCCACAGACTCTTAATTGGTATATTTGGAGCCTGGTGAAATAAACAAAGCAGCGGTATTAATGAGTTTCCACCTTTTATAATAAATCAATGCCCAGAAGAATCAACAATACATATTTATTCATAAATAACGAATATTTTCAAGAACCACCACATAATCAATTAAGAAGTTTTAGGTAATCAAACAATTTTATCGAAAAGTTGAAAGAGATGTGTGGCAAGACGTTTACTTCTTTGATGTATTATTGTTTCTTTCTAAAAGTATTTATACTTATAAATGTATTACATTTTAACTCGTGATTGGCAAAGCAAACTTTCTTCAAAATCAGTGAATTGTAAAATTTGTACCCATTTGAAGGGTATATGTAAAAGAAGTGTAGAAAGCTCACATTTCAATTTAATTATTATAAAGTTAAAAAATATGCAAAAATGGATACACAAATTATACAGGGGCTCTGTGAAAATACTTACTTGTTATGCTACAAAAATCTACAGGTACACAATCATAAATTATGCCATACTGGTCAACAATATAATTTGATATAACACAAAACTTTTAGTTGATACATAATTTCAGAAATTCGACCACTAAGCGATCGCTAATTAGAATTAAGAAAATTTCAAAATTTTGGCCAATTTCTAAATGTGAAAAGAAACCTATAGTATCTGATTATAGTAGTCCCGTCGAAATCGGTCCAGCCGTTCCAGAGATTACCCGGAACAGACAGACAGTCAAAAATTGTAAAAAATGTTATTTTGGCATATGTACCGTGTAAACATACATATGCATTTAGTAAAAAGCGGCTATTTTAATATTACAAACAGACACTCCAATTTTATTTATTTGTATAGATTATAGTGTGGTTTGCTGTCATGGACACTGCTATAAAGTAATAATACGTCACCAAAAATTGGTTGCCTGTAAAGTCGGTATACGGGCGAAAGTTTTACGTGACAACGACTTTGAGTGGTAAAATAATTTTACGCGTGCCTTTCACTTTTTATGTCTGTCTCTCTCGCTCTTAGGCGGGCTAACCATGCCCGAGTGGAAGGGACGCGTGCCTCTCACTCGCTCTCATTGTGAGCGCATAACGTGAGCGGAGCGTAACGCAGTTTCTTGAAGTGTCACCCGGCAAACCAATTTATAAGACGTTGTCACGTCAAAAAAGTAGTAAGAATTGCAATATGTGGTAGCAAGTGTAATAGAACCTGCGATGAATCAAATGTCCGATATTTAATAAATTAATATTCTTTAATTAGGTTGTAGTTTCGAGATCCACTTAGGCAAATATTTAGTGATGGACACGATCATTTTGTTCAGTCAGCATACGTCGGAATTTTAAAACTAGCTGTACACTGCGACGCTTCGTTGTGGCACAATGGGGTTGCATTGATAAGAAATAAGACAAAAATAACACAAAAAATAGATAAAAAACATCCTTGAAGCGGTTTCTATATCGTGTCAAAAATTTAGTTCAATCGGTTCAGATCTTTTAGCTTTTGAAGCATTCACAAACCAACTTAACATTTAGAAATATTATACGTATATAAGATTATATTTCACTTGACTGGTTTCCATACTACAGGTCCAGGTGCTGCCTAGATTGTGATATGTCCAATTATTCCTAGAAAAATAAATAGTAGTAATAATGACAAGAAATCTGCTGTTTCGAGAACGCCCTGATTTATAGTTTGATTTTTACCACTTGAGGTAAACATCAAAACATACAATTTATTGAGCTCCTTTTCCTGAAAGCCTATACGGTTTTCAATACATTATAAAAAAAAATGCTGCTATATTTACATAGTACAAAATAAATTCGCTATTTTGTATTGTAAGATTAGATAGATTAGAAGTTAACCGAGCAAGGGATTCTAATGCGGTTTTCACCAATAGAGTTACTAAATAAATATTTATTTACGTTAAAACAAACAAGACCTGTCAATATCTCAAATTTATTTCTATTCCAATCTTCATTCTCACATTACGTTATACCATGTGTATTATCAGTCCAAATCAAATTATTATAAGGGGGACAGCGCGTACGCAGTCCCTACTACCAAAAATTACGCATCCGAGTTATCCACATTAGGGATAATCGCAGGGGTCAACCCAACCGCAGTGCAATGGAGGGATCTCGCCCTGGGGGAACCGCCTTCATGATCACGGTATCCCCTATGCCAGGTAAGTATGATTTCTTATCAGACTAACGGGGTAGTCATTCACTCGCCGAGACTCTTAACACCGACTTTTATTATTACCCGTGCTGACATCTAGTTGTAGCTACAAGTTATTTTAATCTCCATAGCCTCATTGTAACGTCATCACTCTATAGTCTATTTCTTCACACGATACAAATGAAATATAAATGTCAATGCGAAGATTAAAAGATGAAGATGTTGATGTTATTCGCATTCGCTCTTGAAAAAGACGAAGGTACGCCAGTTGAATCTATTTTAAAGTCGGGCATTGTGTATTTTTATGTTTATTTCCTTTTTGAAATGTCCCCACTCTGACTCTATAAGTTACTGCGTAGCTCAAAAGATGACGTTGGTAGTCGCAGGACATTTTTTTACAAAAAATGTAGGTTGTCATTTTTAATACAATCAAGTTAAGGACAATGTTAAATAATAATATGTACACCGTACAAGTACAACAAAAACAAATAGTGACATAATTATTTATGCGTAAGACACCATTAACAAAAAAGATTAGTTAGTTGTGGGACAGCCATGTCTCGGCACATTTACGAACACTGAGTTTCGGTGCGGCCGTAAGTTTGAAACCTGAGGAGGAGGAAACTGGAACCGAAACTAGATTACTTGGAAGAAACCGAACCATCGCTCGGTAACTAGAACTGCCGACCATAGGAGCTAATGTTCCTTACCTCTAAACTCCGGTGACTGTGAAAGTGTATTTAAAGGGTCTACTTTTATTTAAGTAAACATGCATAGAAGCTACACAAAAATCGGTTCATAAATCCAAGTATTTCACATGTTTTCTAACTCACACTCAATTTTTTTTTATCGAGTAGGCCTTTTTGCAATCGATTATCAAATTTAAAGAAACAAGTGTGTGTGTCTTGTAGTGTCTTGTTTCTTTAAATTTGATTATCTATAGGTAATATAATATTTTTAGCCCTATTATTCTAGTGAATAATAAAGGGACTATATATATAGGGATAAAAAATATGACCCTGACGACCTAGTGAAAGGTCATAAGAGTCAAATAATTACATTAAAGTATATTCCTAATATAAACAAGTCTGCCATCATCAGGCAGGTCAATAGCTGAAGTATTTCTTCATCAAGTATTTCTAGTTATTGTATTTATCTATATTTTAAAATATTACTTAGTTACACATATAAATTATCCAACATTCTCGTGTATATAACCTTTCACTAGGTCAACCAGATCATTTTTCATTCCATCCCTCTCTTTCCTTCTTGCTAAGAAAACCAATATTAAGACTAGTGTGGCTAACTAAAATTAAACAAATTAAAAACAATGGGAAAGCAACACAGGCTTTAGTAGAAAAAAAGGGTTTAACACGTGTAAAATTACCGATTGTAAGGAAATGGTTATGCGAATAACATCAACATCTGATCTTCATCTATTATTCTACGTATAAAATTATATTTTATTATTTTGCATCGTGCGGAGCCATAGTTATAGAGTGATGACGTTTTAAAGAAAATATAAACATCAAAATAAAAAACGAGTGACGTGTCGCTTGCAATTTCAACTAGATGTCAGCACGGGTAATAATAAAAGTCGGTGTTAAGAGTCTCCGCGAGTGAATGAACACCCCGTTAGGCTTAGAAGAAGTCATACTTACCTGGCATAGGGGACACCGTGATCATGAAGGCGGTTCCCCCAGGGCGAGATCCTTCCATTGCACTGCGGTTGGGTTGACCCCTGCGATTATCCCTAATGTGGATAACTCGGATGCGTAATTTTTGGTAGTGGGGACTGCGTACGCGCTGTCCCCCTTGTAATCAGTAGAAAACTAAGTCTTATCACATAGATGAGAGAAACAAATCCATTAGATCACACTCGAAATTTTCACGCTATATGCATGGGATTTTTACTCCAAAAAAGCTACACAACGAATTTTATTCATGAATTTGTAGAAAAGCTATGGAAAACAGATCAGTATAGAAACGTTAACATTGGTGTCAAAGACATCGTTATTATTGATTTATAGTTCCAAATTGTATGAAATTATAATTCGGAACTCTATAAAGTAAC